AAAGGAAAAAGAAAGGGGGTGCAAACAAAGAAACAAACAACCTGTTTCTGACACAGCGCCTGTGTTGCTACTGTGCTGTGGTGGAAATGTGACAAGTCGACTGGCACCGGCGACAATATGATGGATGGCCTTCAGCTTGAATCCATCCTTGATTGCAAGTTGGAGTGTATGGGCATAACATGGACTTGAATCCCAATCCAAGTACTCATTATTGGCGAGAGTGACATTGCTCGCGTTGTCATGTACACACGCAGTCACTTTCTCCAGTATCCCCCAGGACTCGGTAGCACTGCGGAGCCCCTCGGCTAAATTCTCTGCCGCGTGCCGTTCGGGCGTTGCACGGGTCTGTAGAACCGCACTCTTCATCTCCCATTCACTGTCGATGTAATGGCAGGTTATGGTAACGTATGATTCTGTTGTGAGTGCTCTCCACCCGTCGGTGGCTATTGACACCTTTGAGACAGTTGACAAGCTTCTGCGCAGATCTGCCTTATCTTTGTACAGCTTTTCTATACGTTTGGTCATTGTAGTACGGCCCGGGACCCTGTACTCTGGTTCCACGCTTGCCATAAGCTTAAGGAAACCCTCTCCTTCCACGAAACGTATTGGCAGTATGTCCTTCACTAGCATATTGGTGATTAGTGCAGTTATTTCACCTGCACGCATGTCATCACAACGACGTGGCCTTGAAGTGAAGTTGGTAATGGCCGGCTGTGCTGCGTCTTTCTCTGTAACCTCTTTGGCGTGCTTCGCACTCAAATGTGAACGCATTGTTGAGGTTGAGCTATGATAGACCAACGTCTTTTCGCAGAGCTTGCATTTAACTTCCTTTGGACTTGTAAGTTCGAAGTAGTTCCACGAGGAGGAACTCTTTTTACCTGCCACTTTGTTCATCTTTAGTCGTACGTGTGAGGGAGAGGGGGGGTGGGGGCGGTGTGTAGCGTGCTGCAGCAGCAGTCTGCTCTGCACGCAGGCTTCCTCCAAGTTTACATTAAAACAAACTGGTGGTGTGACCAATGGCCATTTACAATTATTAATACTATTACTATTATTAGCATTAGTCTATATTTTGGTCGAAACTAAGCCAGAAAAAAAAAAATAAACATAAATAATAATAAAAATATATATAAATAAAATCGATTTTTAAAAATAATATTAGATTATGGAGACTGTAACGAATATTCGAATAATCGAATAATCACTGGCATCCCTAGTACGCACTTTCCTCGCCGGTGCGCAATGTTTGGTGAATCGGAAAATGTCGGAAAATGTCTGTACCTATTTTTTAGATTTCTACTACGTAAGCAACCTTCCCACGTGAATCCTACACACGGCGTTATAAATGAGGCCCCTGGCAGTTTGAACAGGAGCACAAGGTCAAAAGGGAAACTATGACCTCCGACCTCTTAACATCAGGAGAACCATTTAACCTAGACGGCTGAACCCAAACAGTTTAATTCATGGACAGTGAAATAAAAGAAACGATTGCTTTCCACCACAATGAGCAATTTGTCAAACCACAATTCTCCTTCAGTCACCTAAGTTTAAAGCAACCCTTAAAATATAAATATTGAAACCGAATAAATACGTATCTGACAAAACAAACTTTTCTAAATGTGAAGTCTTTATCTGCAGTCTAAACAAACCAACTCCTAATGTAATCTCATTTGATTAATGTTAAATAGATAAATATCATAACAAATTACTGTGCATAACTGGGAGCCATATTTCCAAGTATAAATCAATTGTCTCATATTTTATGTAATTCAAGATTTATATTCCTGCAAACAAGAAGTTGATCCTTTTGAATTTAAGGAAAAGTCTCACCACTGAAGCACAGAGGCGATCCGGTTGCAGCCTGCCGAAAGATATGAAACTGGCTCAGAGTGCTTGGCTGCATAGAAGAAGAGAGCTTCATGTCATGTGAAGCTCAGTGTATTCAATCAAGTAAAATGAGCAATGAAATGTACTTCATCCCTGCACTAAAATCCATCTAAGAAATGACATGATATAATTGGCGATTATTTTTTCAGAAATATCTCATAATACCCTCATACTCTGGCGTCTGTTGAAGGGTTGAAAGACAGAGTGTGTGTCTACTGACTGATACGCGTTGAAAGGAATGCAATACATTTAGGGATTTCTTAATTAAGGATTTACTCACATTTGTTATAGCCTACTGTACAAAATCCTAAGAACCGATAGCTTTACCATAACACAAAGAAGAACAAGATATTTTACTTGTAATTTAATTGTGCAAATCAGGGGTCCTGAAAGTGCTCTTACACTTTTAATGCATCATGAACCAACATTGAAATTACAATTGATAATAAAAACAATTTCACTTGCTGTGAGTCTTTAATTAGAACGACTAATCCACAAGAGACTTAAAATACTGCTTCCTTAAATAATATACACATCAATGTATTGGCCTATACTAGTGAAAATGGAAATGGTAATAAGACTGCATTCAGTCTATCCACCTATCACCTACGTGCTTTTAGAAGTCAGCATTCACACATATTCATAGAGGCTGCAATGCTTAGGGAAACTAACTTTCCCAACACTGGCTACGCCATCTGGAGCAACTTGGGGTCAAGTATCTTGCCCAAGGACACATCAACAAGTTGACTGCAGTAGACAAACACCTCACAGCCAGAGATCCCTTATCAATTCATAGACACCTTGGTGCAGCCTTATAACAAGAAAAAAGAGGCAAAACTCAACTAATGTGCCTTTAATGACCAACAATAAACAAAAACAACCTTGGAAACCACGGCGGATGCAACGATATGCATTAGGACACAGAAATTAAAATATTTGACACACACAGGACTGCCAAGTTTATGGACAATGTTTAGTAACCTGGGCTACAACACACTGATGATATGTCTCTATTACACAGTGGTTGCTCAGTGTTCGTCTGTACGGGTGTTACATTCATGAGCAGTAGTCTAAAGTAACTAAGTAGATTTACTCAAGTAGCTACTAACTTGTACTTTACTTAAGTATTTCAATTCTTGTTTACTACTTTGTACTACTACCCAACTACACGGCATAGGTAAATCGTCTATTTTACTCCACTACATTTATTTAGTGCCTTTAGTTACTTTGCAGATTTAGTTTAATGATGTGAAATATGATCAACACACAAGACTTGAGTTACACACCTGGAGCAAACTTCACAAGCTAACCTGCAGCATAAAGTAAGTAACCTTACCAGCTTTGATAAACCCATTAATGCATCAATAATTATAATCAAAACAATAATGTATATTAAACTGAAATGGGCCAATCGGCATGGTATTTTTACTTTTGGTTCTTTTAGTATATTTTAATGCTAATACTTTTCTACTCTTACTTGAGTAACATTTTGGATGCAGGACTTTTACTTGTAACAGAGTATTTCTACCCTCGGGTACTTTTACTTTAAAAGTACAATTCTAAGTAGTGTTTCCCCCGCTGTTCATGAGAGTTTGTTTTTGCACACACCTGTTGGGATATCAATTTGCGCGTCTGCGAAGTCTCCCTCCATCTGCTCCAGATCCATCTTCTTCTGAGTTCGTTCATGCTAACTCTAGAATAAACCAACCGAGCCTCTCTTCCTCTGCAGAATATTGTCACAGGCAGCAGAAAGGCCTCTCTGAAGGTAAATGTTTGCTGCTCATGAAGAAGTCCCCGCTGGACCCACTAGCTACTAGTAGCTAGTGGGTTAGCTTCACCCAGCATGCACCTGTCACCGGCAGAGGTGGAAGAAGTACCCTGATTATGTACCTAAATCGAAGTCCAGAATTCCAAATGGTAGGCTACTTAAGTTAAGGGGGAAAGTATTTGAACCAAAAAATACTTAAAGTACCAAAAGTAAAAGTACTCATTGTGCAGAATGGCCACTTTAAGTACCAGATAGGCCTACTATTACATTATTTTATGATTGTTGCATTACCTTAATTCATTCATAATTTATTGTGTGTCGATTTAAATATAGCATCTCAGTTATCAGCCAATAGTAGCCTAGGCCTATCTCAAATTACATATGAGATACAAACTGAACTGTATGAGCAGCACTAGGTCACACTGAGTGATTGTATTTTCTTGAAAGAATGCAAAGTAAATGAAAACAATAAGCAATGAAGTGAATACAAAAACATCTGTAGGCTATTGGATAAAAAAAACACCTCTCATTCAAAATAATTCTTTAGAAAGGTTTAAAATCACATAACGACTGAAAACCAAATATATATATATATATATATATAATCACCCATAACGTGCTGATTTTTAATACATTTATTTTTAAATGTTTACAACATCCCATACTTTTGTCACAACTAAGTTCAAAATGAACCTACAGCTATAAACATTCATAGGGAAAAGCCAATAAAGTAAATGCAGATAAAGACTAAATTGCAATACAACACACATTCACCTGTGCCTATGTTGTAAGAATGTATTTAATCCTTGCATTTCAGACAGTTTATCTTAAATAAAAAACTGTGCTCTATACCCCTCCAGTGTAACATCACGATGAAGGGGAAAAGCTCTTAAACAGACGGACCCTCAGTTTTAGGAATTTGCTTGTGTCTAAACTCAGCCCCTTAAATCAGTCGGTCCTCACGAACAGAACTCAGATCCAAAGTGATGTTCCTTTGATGAACTCCTGCATATGACCAAAATAGGAAACTATTTAGAAAGAAATGCCTGAAGAGGGGATGTTGGTATCTATTTGAACCCTTATCATTTTGACCTTCAAGGCTTAACCTTTTGAGTTTCCTGCCTAAATATAATTTTCAATGACCACACATTGAAGAAAACTGAGTAGATGTTGCTGATTTATAATTGGATTTAAGGATACATAAATCACGTTTTACTGTTTAAGCTAAATTATAATGTTTTCTACTTCACTTTAAATATAGTGCCCTTTAAAGACAAGCCAATAAAGATCAGGTGGTGTTGGCACAAACGTCTTTCGCTCATATGTGACCAGTTAAGTGCCCTCCCACAGCGAGGAAAGACAAAGACAGCAAACAGTTCCATTGCGCACAGCTGCGTAAAATTATGCAATGATAGTTGTTTTCTCTAAAGTAGCGGGTTTGCGTCATGCGTATACTTATAGACTCGTGTTTAGGTATGTTTGGTCAGTAGGCGACATGGGAGAGCTGTGTGTGGTGCTGAGGAGGCAGGAGATGACTGCTGCCCCCTTCACTTCTCCACTGAGCCCTCAGGAGAGTGGAGTGAGGACTGCATGGGGACTGTTGCGTACTGATCGCTTCTTTCTGACAAAACATCTCAGCAGTGATTTGGAAATTAAATTGCAGACCCGCAGTTCAACCATGGAAACTTTGGATATGTAGTTCTCATTTTGTTTAGTAGAGCTATTTCATGAGTTGCAGTTACAAGTGATCTGAAGCCTGCTATGGAGGACCTCTTGAGTCAAAATGAGTCTGAGCACTGACAATGTCACAAACTTGTGGAAAAAGGGTTCTTCGGAACTCGGCTGGACTGCGGGCGCGTCCTCCCCGGTCAACTTTACCAACAGCTCCGGTGGGAACTACACGGAGGTGGACCTCACCCGAGCCATCCCGCTCGGCATGGTGCTGGGGGCTTTCATCGTGTTCGCTATCGCGGGCAACATCCTCGTCATCCTCGCGGTGGTGTGCAACAGGCACCTGCGGACACCGACGAACTACTTCATCATCAACCTGGCCATGGCCGACCTGCTACTGAGCACCACTGTGCTGCCAGTGTCCGCGACTCTGGAGATCTTAGACTACTGGGTGTTTGGCCGGATCTTCTGTGACATTTGGGCGGCGGTGGACGTGCTGTGCTGCACCGCGTCCATCATGAGCCTATGCGTAATATCCATCGATCGCTTCATCGGAGTGAGCCATCCACTGCAGTACCCTGGCATCGTGACCGAGAAGCGAGCTCTGCTGGCCATGCTCGGGGTGTGGGTGCTGTCAGTAGTCATTTCCATCGGACCTTTGTTGGGCTGGAAGCAGCCGCCGTCGCCAGACGAGACGGTGTGCTCCATCACCGAGGAGCCGTATTACGCGCTCTTTTCCTCCCTCGGGTCCTTCTACATCCCTCTCATCGTTATTCTGGTCATGTACTGCCGCGTGTACATAGTTGCCAAACGGACCACTAAGAACCTTGAGGCCGGTGTGATGCGCGAGAGGATGAACTCCGGTGAGCTGACTCTCAGGATCCACAAGGGCTCTCAGGTGCAAGAGGAGCCCTGTGGTGCAGGCGCCGGTAAAGGCCGAGCAAATCAAGCGAGAAGTTCCCTCACGGTGAAACTTCTTAAGTTCTCCCGGGAGAAGAAAGCAGCAAAAACTTTGGGAGTTGTGGTCGGCATGTTTACGCTTTGTTGGCTGCCCTTCTTCCTCGCCTTACCCATAGGTAGGTTCAATAGGTCCTTTATACTGTGCTCTGTTACACTGTCACAAAATGAGCTTTTACACAAATAAAACCCACACCTCCCCCTCCTCTCCAATTTATAAACTTCATGATATTCAATGAGCTAATGAAACCTGTAGACAATATGTTACAACCATCTAAATATAGGATGCTGCAGGCATTGTAAATCATACATATAGCTGGCACAGGGTAAATATCCTGGGCAGCATTACTGCTTTGAATTGATACCAAACCTATGAGTGGGCTTTGATATACTGTAGTGCTTATTTTATATTGTCGGAATAAGAACATAACATCACCGGTATTGCAGCTTTCAATATAAATAGTGTGAAGGGGTGGATCTACATAACAGTTCTCTTACTTCATGGCCTCTGTTAAGATAATAAAGTTAGATTGCATCATATTTTATTATGACACAACTTTTTATTTGGGCCAACTTTAACATTTTTCCAACACAAAGCCAAAGCTAACACTGATGTTTTGGTCTCTAAACTCAGGGCTCTTAATATGGGACACTGTGTTTTTCCTGTAAAGGAATTCTTCACAAGCCTATCGAACATTATTAGTGTTATCTTAATCTGCTGGTGCAACAAATACACTCCGCAAGTGTGCCAAGAAGAGAGTAGGTGGCCTCCCTTTGTTCCGGTCGGTTTATTCAGAGGCCTGTGCGGGGCCAACCGGGGCTCCCTGAGACTGGCAAGCATTTAACACCCTGCTGTCATGGTTGTTTAAAAACCTGCAGAGGATATTAAACAATATATTCTGTGGTGGAATGCTTGTGCTGCAGGCTGTCTTGTAGCAAAGAGGTTAAGGTAACATTATTTGGTGATGGAATCTGGTCAAAAGGACGCAATCAACAAAGAGTAAACTCCAAACATGGCTGCTGTATTTAGATGATTGTTCCCCATATGCCCCTGTAGGTTATAGTATAGTGTGTGTGTTGTCATGTGCCTGCATGTGTACACTTTTAATGATGTAAAATATGAATGTGTTGATGCCCCAGGCTCACCCCATCCTCACATGGACACACGCACATTACTACCTGGGGCAAGTTCACAAAATGGGGGTGGGGGGGACATTTTGCCACAAGCGTTCTTAGTGCGATACCAAAGAGCATGTTACAAATGTAATTTTCCAAAGTTCTGATTGTCAGATCTGTGAGGCTCCAGAGAGCAGGGGGACGTGAGGTTCAGGAGGGGCCTGTTTATGTAATCAACAAACTGCTGAGAAACCCCCAGAGCGTGTTTCAATGTATCAACACTGATTCATTGTGACAAAGCACTATACAATTTAGTTTCATGCTCATTAGAAATGGGCCTCCGAGATGCATGAAGGAAAAGCCTACAAGCAAGTCCACCAGTCTGTTAGTGGGGAGCACATGGTTCATCTTCTGAAGTTCATTGCATGGTGGACCTATAAAGCAGGACACTGAAACTCTCTGTTTCTATTTGTAGGAAACATCATTGTTTTTCAATGTAAGTTTGTGTCACTGTTCTTGTGTGTGACTTTTGTGTGAACATTATTACTCAAAGTGAGATAGGGCCCTCCCCATGTTGCTCTGTGGAGTGGGATTTCCTGTCTCACACTAGCCTGCTCCCTCCTCTGCCCACTGTCACTGATAACCTATCTGGGGCTTTAGGAGTGTGCTAGTAGCAGCGAATGGCACGTGTGTTTTTTGTATGTGTGTGAGGAAAAGTGATACAAAAATGTGTGTTTATATAGATGAATGAAACGATAGTTGTTTTTTGAGTGATTGTATCAATGTGGCGGCAGTTTGTACAACTCTTTCTAAAGCCAGGAAAGGTGTAACTTAGACTGCATGCTGTCAGAAAGAGCCACTGTGACCTCTGACCCTTGAAGTCTCAACCATAGACTGTCTCAACCCAAGAACACGTGCAGTTTAAAGAAATATGTGAAATCTCTCCTTCAGAATATTATCTGAACAATTTGATCCAAATTCTATAAATGCCATGTTTTTTGTTTTTGCCCAAGCCTGAGCTAACCAGTCCCAGAGTTTGAGTCATTTCTTTTTCAGGTTCTGAATGATCGTTTCTCCTTTTACGCCTTTTGGAGCAAAGAAAGGTATGCAGACTTCAGGATTGTAAACATTACATTAAAGTTAGCGTGACTCCATGCAAGCTTCCTTGGACAAAAAGCAGCAGTAGAATTTCACAAACAGACCTAACTTAACTTTATTTGATATTAAAGAAGACGTATTATTTGATCACAGGGGCCAGACGGAAAGAAATAGGGCACACAAAGTCCTACAAAATGCTTTTAGACCTTACTATTAATGAAGCGGTATAATAACATGTATTTTCATTGACACTCTTTAGTGCCTTTCAGGCTGCACATGTCCCACCAGCTGATCTCTATTACAATACAGTTGGTTCAGCGGCCAAACATTGTTTAGAAACCGAGAACAATATTCTAAAATCTAGTCCTGATGGCAAAGTCATTCTGACCATTTCTATGATTCACAAGATGTTTCATTATTTATCGAAGAGCAGTCTAAAAGTCTATATTAGTAGCGCTTGTATTATTAAGCACCTATTTCATCAAAGACACATCAGAAAATGTACGCAACCAGTAAATAGAATCAAAGTAAAACAAGGAAAAGCAGCAATTCCTCACATTTTTAACGCTGTGAAAAATGTGAACAATACTTTAAAATTACGCTCAATTGCTATTAGATAACTATCAACACTATTTCAAATTAATTGTTCTGTCCATGGACTTATCATTAAATTAACTTCGTATGGGTAAAATAAATCAACATAACTAAACCAAGATAAGGAAACATAAACAAATAATTATTAATTCAAGTGTTTTTTATAAAGTATAGAAAATGTTTTGTTTTAACTTCTAAAATATAAGGGGTCCTTTGAGGTACTCCTCTGCATTTTGATGTTTCAATGAGCTGTCTCTTTCTGTCCAATCTCCCAACTCTGCTGGGAATATTATCACCAGTCCTCAGTGATTTGTGCGTCTTAATTAATTGCACACATTGTCCCACGGCTCTTTAACACCCCCCACAGGCACTAATGTCTTGTGAAGGCCTCGCATTTAGCAACTGGCACAAGCAGTGTGCCCATGTGTAAGAGAAACCAACACTTTGAGGTGTTACCCAATTGTTTCCATGTAGAGGTGTTTTTGGACACGATATTGTGCATGTGTGCAGCTCACACAAGTGTGTATGTGTTTTGTATTGCTTGTCACATGAGCTGGCTTGCCCCTGCACTAGGGGGTAATCGAAATGGGTTTTTGAAGGTGAAAAATAATGAGAGTGCTAAGTGTCAAAGCGTTGAAGAAGAAAGGAGGGGTCTGATCTGAGCAGACCAGTGGGGGGGAAAGTGAGCTACCTTTGGATGTCAACCCAATTTTCCATAAATAGCTCCACGCTATGGTTTCATTGAAAGCAATTTGCTAGGGCAATAACTTCTGTCCTTTTAGATCAAGACAAATTAATCACATTTATAGGTGTGTTGTGAAACTGGATGCGTGAGGTTTTGGAGAGCAGATTGTGGGGTTGTGAGCACTACGTGGCAGCGAATAGGCAATGGTTCTTCCAATTAGTTAGAATAACAGGATGCCTTGTTTTGTTAAGATGTTCCTGTGTTTCATGGTGAGATGTTTTTGCGTGTGCCTGTCCTCAGGAAGGAGGTGCAAACGTTTCTTTTAACAGAAGGGCAGAGACCACAAACAACAACCCTCCCACAGTTATCACCATACCATTGTCTCGCATCCTCTGCAGCTTATACTATAACCTCACAACATGAACACTCTTCAGGGGACAAAAACGGACCGTGCTCACACAAAACTTAAACATACAAACATGTACATCTGGCTACAGGAAGGTCTGTTGACAACCAGATTTATTTATGTGTTTCCTTCTCTTTTATTCTGTGCCTGAGTAGAAAGGAGGCACAGGAACATATTGTCCACCTTCTGGTCTCTGTTGGGGCCTGTAGATGTTTAGATGTAGTATTGTTAGGTGGTTAAAAATGCTAAAACCTTCTCTGCCTTTCCATTGTAAAGATGTGTCTGTTGAAGTGAGTAGATTGATTATGGTGTTGTTTCAACTGTTGGTTGGACAACACAGACAATGTGACCTTAGGGCTGGTCTTATTTTGTACCCTATTTTCAAAGAATACATTGAGAAATAGATGTAAGATTAAGAGGAAGAAAACTCCTGGCACTGGGCACAGACATTTTTGTTCATAAATTAGATAGAAAAACAAACTGGCACATTTGGGATCATAGTATGCTCACACAGCTTTTATTCAAAAGCATTACCATTAGGGTATTAAAATTGACTATTTATAAGTAACACAATTATGTATTGTTGAAATAAATAGTTGATCATTGATAAGAAAACATTGCATTGTTTCAGTGGAGCGGCGCGTAAATTCAATATGATGTTTAAATTGTCTAAATTGATGATAATAAGCAGAACTACCTCAATTTCTTCAGAAAGCTGATGAAATTCAACTTAAATCAAACTATTGTTTTAATAGTGGTCCCCTTAATTGGTACAAAATAATAAACATAGTCAAAGCTGGAAGTATTTATATCTTCATTTTCTCTATAGTTTCTCTTAAAACATTTTTTATATCGCTATCTAAATATGAAATGACCTATATCGGGAAAGACAATTTAAGACATATCGCCTAGGCCTATGTTACAAATGCTAAACTCAGCTTCATCCGTAATTCATTAGGTTTTCTACATTTGTGATCTAATAGACCAAAATAAAAGATCATTACTTGCAACGACTATTATCAAAGACAGATGGAAGCACATACAAAAGAGAAAGATAAATAAGATACATTATTAATTCCACTGCGCCCTACTATGTATCCCAATCACAAGCATAACTCACACGGTTATATAATCACATCTAAGTGGATGTCCAGAAGCTAAAATAGCATGTGAAAATACCAGCCACTAAGAAGAACCATTCATCTAAAGTGCAGGAGGCCCAGGCACATTTAGACGTCTCAAGTTTGGTCTCACTCAAACACGCACACACACACATACACACACACACACACACACACACACACACACACACACACACACATTTGTGCTGTCATTAGGATAAATGGAAGTTGAAAAGGACATTTCCTCATGTTTTGCACGATCACTTTCCTCCAGGTTAACAAATTCACAAGCGTCTGTGAATGTGTGTGTGTGTGTGTGTGTGTGTGTGTGTGTGTGTGTGTGTGTGTGTGTGTGTGTGTGTGTGTGTGTGTGTGTGTGTGTGTGTGTGTGTGTGTGTGTGTGTGTGTGTGTGTGTGTGTGTGTGTGTGTGTGTGTGTGTGTGTGTGTGTGTGTGTGTGTGTGTGTGTGTGTGTTCTCTTTGGATATTGAATGGTGTTGCTAGTTCAGTTTTAATTGTATCTAACTAAAAATGTGAAATGATAAAAGAAGTTCAACCTAAAAAAGTTAGACACGATTCAGGTAACAGAACTTTTGCTATGTATTGCATAATGTACGTTGTGCCGCTTGAAATAATTGTGAAAGGTGTTGATGCGACTCATGAGTCAGTAAACTGAGATGTGGCTAATATCTATCCAGAGGTCATTTCACACTTGAAAGCCTGAGATTATAGTGCATCCTCTTTTATTTTCAGGAATGTGATATCCATTTAAGAATGTGGGCTGGTGTAAAGAAGCACAGTTTTGCTCAGATCTGCCCACACACACAAACACACAAAGTCTGTCTTGCTTTCACACTAATGTCTCACTTGCTGTGTTATTATCTTCAGGCTTCCCCCTCTCACCTCATTAAAGTGTAAGGTATTTTTCCTCTGTTAATCTTGGCCACAAGAGGAGAAAATACATCACTTTAATGCATTTTAACACCGGCACAACTCAACTCATTAGCATGCCTGAAAAACGTTCAGTATGTTGGTGTTTATATCAAAACAATTGCCTCTAATTTTGGAAAAAAAATCTTGTTGAGTGTCACATACCTCTGTGTACTATTCTGCCTGTGAGAGCTCCTCGAACAGAGAAGGTGCGATTTAATCTCAACCTTGTACACTTTGCTCAAAGCAAAGTTTATCTAAAAAAGAATTCAGGGACGTCCCACTTTTTCTGTATTCTCATTACATTTCCCAACATGAACTGTAAGTGTCGGCATCGGTTTTTGAAAAGGGAACACTTTATTTGCTTCTGAAGGCCTTCCTATATCCAAGGTCTTTCTATAATTGTGTGAAACAGGCTTTCCACTTGGGACTTCTGATCCACATACTATCAGCATGCAGTCTGATGTTGTTCCCGATCAATGCTGCCCCCTACTGGGTAAAAAAACAACCTGCAAGTCTCACAGTGTAATTATACTGATCCTGAACGGCCCTGATAAAACAGACCATGGCTATGATGTGACATGCAATTTGCAAATGTAACACATTTACTTCATCAGTGTCTTTTCATGTCACCATACGTGAAGGTTATTCTGATGACTTCCACATAGTAAGAGGTACATATTTTAAATTCATGGAGGAAGAGCACTGATATTGCATCAGCATCACTCAGGCATTGGTATCAGGAGATTTAGCATGATATAGGATGTGTGGGACTTCCACTACAACTTTTTTGCAATGACAAGCATTAGGTCCAATTCTGATCAATGTCAAGTTTGACATTTTAGGAAATACTATAGATGAGCCCAATGCTATTGGCATGACATTATTTCCTTTTTCTTTCTCCATGTCTCCAGGTGCTTTTAATAAGAACTTGCGAGCACCTGAAGTGGTCTTCAAAGTGATCTTTTGGCTGGGCTACTTCAACAGCTGCATGAACCCCATCATATACCCCTGCTACAACCGCGAGTTCAAGCTGGCCTTCATCCGCATCCTTCAATGCCAGTGTCACCAGCGTAAACGCCCCGGCTGGAAGGCCTACAATTACCGCTCCTCGAACATCAGCTCCTCCGGAAACTCTCGCAAAGGATCAACGGATCACAACTCCAGCTGCTTAAACGGCAGCCAGCGTACTCTGCCGTCCTCAGCCAGCCCGAGCCCCAGTTACCTGAGCAAGGGTCTCCCTCCTTGCCCTGAGGGGGAAACGTTATACATCTGGGGGGGCTCCACCCCAACTCCCTCCACACCCAACCTGCTGCCCGGCAGCCCCGCAAACTGCCAGCTGGGAGATCTGAGAGGGGAGGTCAGAGGAAGGGAACCATCTGAGGAGACTACTGGGGGTATCTTCTCTTTCTCCTTTGGTAGAAACAGAGACAAGGGAGGGATTCACAAGGAAGACATGTTGCCTGGTGACAAGGTGTGACTGCTGCTGAGTGTCGCTGACGTCTGGCTCACTCATTCCTCACAGGGATTAAAGTCAATAACAGTGCAGGAGCGTAGGATTTCCCTGGTTTGCGCTATTCACTGTAAATGATCATTCATCAGTCAATGGATTGTTGTTGTCAATGTGAGGTGAAGGTAACTGAGTATTGACTATGCTGCTGTATCAGAGGTATTTTGTCCTATTTATCTTTTCGCTCAACGGACAGTAAGGGGTTCAAACTGTTAATCAAAATCACTGTTCTCCACGCTCTTTGGTACAGGAAAGACACCAGTGCATTCATTTGGGAGGAGAACAGGAAAGACATTTGAAGGAAAAAGGACACGTTTTCAGAGAACCCAACACTATCTTCCCTGTAAAAAAAAAATGCCTGTCTGCCCTAAAAAGACTGACAGAACCTTTCTCATGTGAAAAGTGTGATAAGACAATTGATCACCTTTATGCTGCAGTCACTTGTTGGTATGTTGTGAAAATAAAGTATAACCTGGTTTATCTGCTGCACAATTATCAGATATCATCTTGTTGTTTTGTTTGTTGTTTGAAAAAGTACAGAATATTGTGATTAGAAATGTGATTGTTGATATGAATAAACATAGAACGTTACTCTAATTCTGGTCTGTAACACTTCCTTTTTTATGTAAATAGAATGTGTACCCTCATAATGTGAATGATCATACTCTATATGTTCATGTTGATGTCGCAATGGTTATGGTTTATTTAAAGCAAGGAAGTGTCCTGTATCCTAAAACAAGGCCAGGTTCTTCAGTAAAAGGCAATCATGAGGCTATTATTTAGGAACTCGTCCAGTGAGCAGAGGTAAATACTAAGCTTTATTGCTTAAAAGACCTTAGATCACAACTCCACTATAAGACATTTAACGATATATACCAACCTGTTCACTGACCTCACAGCCCATTGACTCCTGGTACTGTACATGCCAGTTAATCATTTATTCCTGATGGGCTTTAGTTTTAAAAAGAAGCAATACCGGACAAACGCAGACACATATACTAACAGCCAAAGAATCTGGTAAACCTTTTTTTTGTGAACAGATTGAGATTAATCCGTGAGACATAACCGATGGATTTAAATTGAGTGGCTTTGTTTATCATGATTTCCATGCCAGGGACCAACACCTCAGACAACCACAGCCTGACTCATGACGGCAGTGATTCTGCTTTATGTCACCTCGGTTGAAGTCTGTGCCTGCTCCTACCAATCCCTATCCTTGCCAGCATGAGGAGTCTTGTCATCATGGCTGCAGTGGCACGTTTCCAAAGCCTCCAGACGCCCACCAATGGTTTGGTGGTGTGCCTGGTTGTTGTGGACTTCCTGGTTGGCAAACTGATGATGCCTTTGAGTCTGGTGCGCTCCACGGGCACTTCGGGGTGCTGCTTCTGCCGAGCTAACTTCCTTCTAGATGTCGCCTTCTTGTGCTCCATTTTTCAATCTCAGCCTCATGGTACTGGACATACAGGTGTGTGACCCGCTGCACTACCCTGCTCGGATGTCAGCCGTTGTGTGGCATATTGCTGTTGCCCTGCAGGATCCTGCCTCTGGTCATCTCCTCCCTTTGCGTCAACCTCGACATGAACTCTCAGTAGGCCTACTCTAACCTGTCTGGCCATGTTTCACCTCACCTGCGCCTTTGCCCTTTTGCCTTTGATGGCATGTTGAGGCTGCCCAGATACAAGCGAGTTGGATCCATGCAATCGAACATAGCAGCTCCAAATATTCCCGATGAGGACTGACTCCACCTGACTTGTTCGTCATGACATAGAAAGATATTCTCTGAAGAAGGAAAGAAAGGCTGCTAAGACCCTAGGTCTGATCATTGGGGTCTTCCTGTTCTGTCGGCTTCCTTTCTTCTGTGTGAACGTGGTCCATCCTCTGAAGGGCTTCAGCGACAGCCCCCTGATCCTGGAGGCCTGCTCGTGGCTCGGATATGCCAACTCTTCTCTAAACCCTTTCCTGCTTTTTCAACAAACACTATCAACACTTATTATGATGGAAACTTCTGAAGCAATTGGAAACAGGACTCAGAGACACGAGGAGAGATGGAACTTTGATGTCAAACGCTGATGGTTTATTTGGAGTTACGGCCGGAGAATTGAAAAGACAGGTTGTGTGTCACAAGTTGACACAGCGGTTGCCAAACCAATTCTGAAGATCTCTTCTGCAGCTCGAGGTTTTAACTAGTTCGGAGTGTAATAATCAACATTCTTTATCAGTGACACTAAACAAATATGGACCCTGAATCTAACTAGAGCTCTCGTCCATAGGAAAGAATGTGCGCCAGGGAACCTTCGTCCCTGAACAGTAAACTACCTCATGGCAGCTTGTGCTCTGTCATAGACTGGCAACAACAATGCGCCCAAGCTGCCCCTCCTTAAGAGATAGCAGCAATACCCAAGGCCGGCGTAGACCTATGCCATGGGAAAAGAGACAGTGAAAGGAGAAAACGATTAACTGTGTCGAAGGTCGAATACCTAAGCAAATTATTCCCTAACAGTTTCTCTCTTTTTATTACATTACATTGCATTTAGCTGACGCTTTTATCCAAAGCGACTTACAATAAGTACATTCGACCAGGAAGATACAACCTTGAAGAAAACAGAATCATATAAGTTTATCAATTTTGATAACTTAAAAAACCTATTCTAATAATAATTTGTTCAATACCCTAATAAATTAGATTCTTCAGAAAGGGTGTAGGCATTCTACACAATGTTGCAAATAATCACATTAATAAAACATTTCAGATTGAAACCGTCAATCACAATCATAAAAAGTATCTCTCATTAGTGTTTGGAGCATCTTTTGTCAAAAGCATAATAATGAACATACATGAAAATCACAGATACATAATAACACAAATCATTTAATCCTAACAAACCTTATCACGTATTTATCAATGTAGTAAATTCAAATCTTACTCATTAACCTTTTAAATTTAAAAGACTACTTACAAATAAAGGTGTTCTGATTCAGAAGCTAAACACCTGTTACTTTATCAATTACCCAGGACCACAAAGAATCTAAAATTTAGATTTAAAAGGCTATATATTTTTAAAGTATTGTAGCCATGTTGGACAGGGGTATTTGGGGGAGGCAGTTAAGGTCAGGTTTGCATTCCTCAGTCTTTGAAAGGTAGGCACATACTGTTGTAACCTTGGAAACCATTTCAAGATGATCATTGTGTTTTTCAACGATAAGGTGAGACAATTTATGGTTGGGAGTTTTTGTTTGTTCAGTTTTGTCATAACCAATCAGTAGCGAGTACTTCTCTGTTATTCAGGTTAGAGCAAGAAACTTTACTCAATCCAGAGTGTAGGCCTAACTCCAAAATCACTTCAAACTACATTTCCCACAATACAATTTGATAGCATCTGTCATTGTACTTTCCCATCGTGATAAATGTTGACTACACACTCCAAGTTTTGAAAGCAAACTAGTAAAAACATATACATTTATAAACTATGTTATGAATGTGCATGCCTGAGAATACCCTGAGGAGATTACCAGGGTACATTTATCCAGGTTTGGAAAGCTCAGAATCACAGATGATACTATTCAACTGCTTCATATGGTGAATAGTAGTAGCTGGTAGCAAGCTAACTATAGATGACCAGCTTTTTTAACTGAAAATACTTAAAGCATCGATGACAGGTTTACCTACACTCAATAAAACATGGCCTTTGATATCCTTCGTGCAGCCCTAAACCAAAATAATTCTGATCCTCATATTAAGATTTGGCTTCAGGGACCTTGATCTGAAAATATTTGGGTTGTTATAAAGTGTATAAACAGCACATTTGAAAGCAGTATTAACTGGAAATTGGGGGTATTTACATGATTTTATCCATTGTTAATATGAAAGAATATTATGAGTACGGCTTTGATTAAGTGCTTTGTGTTAATTAGACATACAAACAATAAAAGCATAAAGAGTGTCATTCACTTGATATGGCTTTCAATGCAGAATTAATAAGGACACTTTCAAATTCTGCGCCTCTTCTTAAACACTGCAGGAACACTAAAATAAGAATCCCTGTTATCAGATTATTGTTCAAAATTACATTTCGCAGCACACTACACGTTGACATTGGGTGTGCGTAAGGTTCACCTGGTTAAACGTAGGGCTGCACGATTTTGGGAAAAAATCTAATTGCGATTTTTCTGACAAATATTGCGATTCGAATTGCGATATTTGTTTTTAAGCGACCCAGTGGAAGTTTATTGTAAAATGCGGCCATAACTCCGGCTAGGAAGGTCGTATCAACGTACTCCCGTCTCTAGCACCCGCGCAGCCCGAGCTACGAGTGAAAAAACTAAACTTACATGAAACTTCCGTTGGGTTGCTTTAAAGTCAAGCTTCAGTTTAAGATTCACCCTGTAATAGAAACATGTGATGGAGCATTGCTAACCTGACTCAGATGGATTGTTTCACCAAACCATCTAAAGCTCCATTGGAAGCCATTTGGAAAGGCCAGGCACTTTCAGAAGCACTTGGCAGGTGATTGGATCAATTTGTCTATCACCTTCTATCATGGGCCACTTCTGATTGATTAACAATGGCTGGTACATGTGGAGCACAGCACCTCTGATTGGTGTGGATGACTGACACACAAGAAAAAAAAGAAAAAAAAATTGTAAAAAAAAAAAAAATGTTGAAAGAAATCGCAGGCTTTGCGATTTGATAATCGCATCATTTCAAATCGCGATTTCGATTTAAAATCGATTAATCGTTCAGCCCTAATGCAGACCCAGATCAGCAGAAAGTGTAGGATCTCTGCTTTGAATGTGACAAATGATCTTCCTGCTCGCTGCACGTCCTTTCCTCTTCACCATGTCAATGAGGCAGCGGGCCCTGTCTGCCCTGGTGTCGTTCTCCTGAAGAACAGAGTCTTTCTCCCCGTCATTCAACACTCCATCCATTAAAAGGTCATCCAGCAGCTGATTGATCAGTTCTCTGGACATGTTCCGCACAAGTTCAGGCCTCAGTCTGGCAAGCTCCTCTTCTGGAAGAAAAAAGAAACAAAAAAAGAAAAACTTGGGGCACAGAATTTAAAAACATATTGCTAAACTGTAATAGTATGGCCAAGGTGAATATCATTTATTAGAGCAATACTCATTTGTAAATCTTTTACTCACCCTGGGTTGGCTATAATTTATGAGCAAAACTTTGGTCAATGAAGACCCAAAAACAGAGAAATATCTGGTTGAATTTAAATAAATTGGAGACGTGTTTAACAACAGCAAAACTATATCAAAACATAATCTTACAGACTGTCACACAACTTGTGCAGTAGAATTCTAATTTCATTTAATGAGTCCTATCTTCAATAAAAGGGTGTCACGATTTCCATCAAAAATCCAAAATCAACAAAGCTCACCTTAAGCCTGTAGCTTCCCTTTCCAAACTGAAAAATATTTAGGCATCCCTGAAGCAGCCTTTTACCCTTCTACTGTGTGGGGGCTTAGTTTGAGTGATTCTTACAGTTTGTGGTTCAGTTTTGTGATTCCATTGTCATTGTTTAAAATTGACCTTATTGCCTTGATGTTACACATTGCAAACAAACATGGTGAATATATTAGCTTAATACCCTGAAGAGCCTATCTATGTTTATGTAAATGACGGTTGTCAGTTCATAAAACCAGTCTTTTCAAATCCAGACTTGAAAAATGTAATAGCGATCAGTTAATGATGAACAAATGTTTAAATGTAATCAAAAGTAATTTAAAATCATGATGGGGGCGGCTATGGCGCAGTGGGCGAGTGCATTGATCCTCAGATCAGGGGAGCTGGGGAACACCAGTTGGAATTCTGCCTTGTCCTTGGGCAAGACACTTTGCTCCTGTGGGTATTGTCCACAGTATTCATTGTTACGTGTGATAAATGTAATTTATGTAATGTAAAGCGCTTTGAGCATTTAGAAAAGCCCTAATAAAGGTAATTAATTATTATTATTAATTATTATGACCGTAAAACAAAAGTCAAATCTATCGTTGATATGAAGATTTGTTCGGCCATTACTATTTAAAACACTTCTGCAACAGTACTGGCACGGACGGTGTAGCTGGCCTGTTAATGTGGGTTATTGTTTTAAATACATTTGAGCAAACATTTTAGTTTTTAGGGCGATAGAGATTAAATGACTGGATAAAAAATGCCTGGATTATACTGCTAAAGTTTTGATATATGGTTTTGCTGTTTTTAAACACAAACCCAATTTCTTTTATTCATTAAGAATGTTATAATTGTATATACACGTTGTTTACCGTTGAGCCATTCGAGAAAAAGTTATTTCTCAACAAATCAACATAACAGGATGATTAATGGATAAAGTTGTCATTTTGTGGGTGAAATATTCCTTTAATATAATACTGTTAATTCAAAATCTCAGGTCCTGTGAAGACACTGTATTAATTTGTAGTTTGTGGTGATAAACCACATTTTAACAGCATTTTACATCCTACCCACCATACCCTTATTAAGATGACCAATTTAGAAAAATAAAATAATAATAAAAATACTCATCATCAACAGTTTCTTACCATACATCCCCTGAATATCACCAGTGTTTGTATAGTCATCTGGAATGAAACACAGAAAATCAGTATATAAATGTCTTTGATTAGGTGGGTTATGTTTTTTGATTTTTGTAACATAAGACAGAATATTTTACATAAATAAGACGGGAACTAATGTGCAATATTTATGCAACCAATGATATCCTATAAACACTGACCTTTTCGAATGACACAGGTCCACACTGGCGCAGATTTATGGGTGAGTGTGAGCTTGAAATTACTGTCTGGATTTTCAATGAACACTTCACAAAAGTTTGGGTCACTTCCTTCATATACAAGCTTTAGATTCTGTGAAATAATGTATATGAAGTAAAAAGGCGGGGATTAGACTCTGTCCAGTGATAAAAACTCCATCCTGCTGAAGCTTTGCATTATTCATACAACATATTTCTGGACAACAATCACAATCAAAACGTACCTCAGGAGTAATTTCTGCATTGTCCATGTTGGCCTTGAGGGTAAAATATTTACCCATCTTCAGGGACTTCTGTGGGTATGGCTTTTTGATCATTTTGTATCCACTGGATAATTCCTTGCTTTTTATTGTCTGTGGAGGAAAATGACTTTTTTCAGCACAAAACGTTCAGCCAACACTGAGGTCTGAGTTTTTAAGTACAAATCAAAAGCGATTACCTGTTGCAGAGCAGGATCACTAGGGATCAGATACACATGTAGTGTGAGGAATGCCAGGTTGGTCTTGAATATTAACACTTTACAGTTGATTTTTATCCGAAAGCCAGCTCTCATCAGGACTCCTCTTGGAGAGAAATGTGGCTGAGACAACTTGACATGGGATGGTGTAACCTCGGACACTGGCTCCACGACGTCTCCACAGGTATCTATGTGCAGGACTGAGAACTTGCCTAAGACTTCAGGGTTGTTTTCTGCATAAAGAAAAGTGCTTCAAAGTTTTTTATGGACATACTATCAAACAAAGCTATTACATATTTGTTTAAATTATATGTTTTGCTTGCCTGTGCAGATCCAGTGAGGAAGATACGCTTCCACCAACTTTCCAGCGATGACAGTAACGTCGAGAAGGGGACCTCCAGGAATGAAGTGCAGAGCTTCCATCCTCTCCATGTGTTCCTCCCAAGAGCCAAACTGGTACTTCAAGCTGACCTTTTCCTTACAAACCCAGCGCAGTCCAGAGACACCACACTCAAAGGGACCTGCATCAGACTGTAGGCTAATTTATGGAAGGGAAGATATTGTAAGAGTGGCGCACATTTGCAGTATTGTTAGAGAAAAACTGAGTTATTTATTCATGAAAATGTACTTGCTGATTATCGTAATAAAGCATTGGAATGAATGGTCGAGCTCAGAAAAAGATCTTAGGTTTTCATCGGGAAATTGGTTCGCTGTGACACAGTAAATGAAGACGTTTTTTTACCTGTAAATTGGAGTATCCTCGTCATCCACACAGATCACTTCAGGTTTGAGCGTAATCCAGTGAACCTCAGGTACTTGAACTACGGTCGGCATCTTTATTTTAGTTGTCTGAAATATATTAAAAGTATGATTTACTGTAGATGTACTGCAAGTAACAAGTAATTTACAGCTTGGTGTTAAAGTTTGATTTACAAAACTTCAAATATTCATGTTTTAAGTATTGCATTTTGAATGTAATAATCAATTAATAAGTCTTAAAGAGGATTTGATGAGACAAAACAACTACCCAATCAATTGTCTGGTGCCTTGCTCAAGGTTCTTGGTCAATGAGGATGCATTAGACAGCTTACTCACTTTTCTCCTGACAACCTTTGGAGGTCCTCCGCTGCTGAGTTTGTTAACACTCTTTGAATAAACTGCTGGGCTTAAGAAAACATACATTTTGTTTAATAATTCATAATTTTTTATATATAAATTAGCCTCACAGATCAAAGCAGATATGGCAGTGCAACACATTTGAACAAAGATCGTTCAAAGGAATGTTTTAGACAGCAATTTGCAAAAGAAGCCTTTCATATTTTATTGTTTTATAATTTTCTTATCAACATTTTTGTTTATATATCTTAATGGCAATACAAGACCAACCTTCCACCCTGAAGGTGTGGTATCCATTTCTCAACAATTCTGTAGAAGATGTCTTTGTCTTCTTCAGATTTTAGATGACCATCCAAGAGCTCTTTCATCTTCTCCTCCGAGGTCGGGAGAGCGCAGATTTTATCATAACTTTCCTGATGAATCACCCCCTTGGTAATTAGCTCATCCAAAACGGATTCCACATCGGTCACATGGTGGATCAGCTGATTTCTTTGTATATCCATAACGTGCTTCTCTAAAAGGAAAACCAAAGGAAAAAATACTCATTAGTCATTTTGAGGTTTTTAAAATAAAAGTATATTTGGGGAACACTTTCCACATAATACGTTAAGATTTGCATTTTCATTGTCTGATGTGTATCACATTCAAGCAATTTACAATGAATCCAAAGAAAAGTCAAATAAACAATAGAAATGCGTTACTCATGCACGACGAAGGCAGAGACAAGTGTTGATGTTTGATTCACGTGATACCTTTGAAAGGACAGAGGTCAATATTGATTATATTTGATATGATATTTTTTTATTGTTACATCTCTATTCCACCTTTTAATTATTTGTATTTTAATGTCTGAACACACTGCTGCTTCTGTAACAAAATCATTTCCCAAATCTATCTAATTAATATCATGATATCAGCTGTTGTCTTTGAGGTAGGATGAGAGCAAGGAGAGTGCAGAGCCTGAGACTCCCAGTTCTTGGAGAGTATGAAGGAAGATCTGGTGGTTCACCTTTTTCAAATGAAGTAGAAAGGTCCACAAGTATGAGGAAAGAGGAGATGGAGGCAGCTTTAGCAGTGTGCAGTTCCTCAGTGACCCCAAGGAGGGCAGTGTCAGTTGAATGGCCTAGACTGGTGCGGTGGAAAGTTGCTCTGATGAAGGTAAGAAGAGAGTTAATTAAAGACAGCACACTCTTTAATGTGTTAGTGTTTTAGAAATAAAAGGAAGAAGAGAGACAGGTCTGTGGTTTGTTACATCGGAAGGGTCAGGAGTGGGTTTCTTTATGAAAGGATTCACCCATGCCTCTTTTAAAAGTAATTGGAAAGCAGCCGGTTGATAGCGAGGTGTTGAGGAAGTGGGTGAGAAAGGGAAGAATGTTAGGTTCCTGAGGATATGTTGTTGGACGGCCAGAGGTAACGAGGGCAAGAACCTTTGTTGGAGAGAGGGGTGAAAAATAAAAATAATAAAGACAAAATGTCTCAGTAGCAGGGAGGAAGGTGTTGGGGGACTGGGGGTTCAAGGAGGGTGGCAAGGACAAAGAAGAGTTTTTTGGGGTTAGAGAAGAAAGACTGCATTTTAGATTAAAATAATGTGCATTGAGCTGCAGATATAGAAGTAGGGAAAGAAGACATTTGAGAAAGAAGTAAACCTAAACTGTGGAAATAGGTCATGTAGGAGCTAACATTTTATTTAGCCTAGGTTTATTATTTGTGTTATTATTGTTTGTTTACACCACCTTTATTTGTATTTGTTAATCACTTCCGGTCATTGGAAATTAGCTCCATAGATAGGGTCAACAATCCGTGTATCTACCGTCCAATTGTTTTTCTTTATTAAACACGTAAACGGAAGAGCGTCTGAGAGGCGTTTTTGCTTTTTACCTTATTAAGGCCCATTCCCAAACCGCCCCCTACACCCGACCCCTCCGTTTGCACGTTCACGCGGAGGGTTCCAAAGCAACGCGTGTGGAGCGGTGTGGAGGGGGAGTGGGCTGTCACTACCCGATCCGTCCCCCTGCCCGATCGGTACTGCGCATGTGCGAGATGGTCCGCCATATTGGACAAGTCCGGACGGCATCCCAAGATGGACACTTGACACAGTGGCTTTTAGCAAAGCTCAAAAAGAAAAACCGAGAGAGATGAGTTATTGTTATTACAACGTGACTTCACTATTATTTAACAACTATTTTTATTGGGTTCTTTTATTTGGGGTTAAGTAGGCTACATTGTCAGAATAAGTGAGAAATGGTTTAATTTATGTTAGACAGCTATCATACTGAATACATATTTACTGTGAATGTATGCACAAATGTATGGCATATGGCTGTCCAACAGAAGTTAAATCCATTTCTCACTTATTCTGACAATGTACTTAACCCCAAATAAAAGAACCCAATAAAAAGAGTTGTTAAATAATAGTGAAGTCACGTTGTAATAACAATAACTCATCTCTCTCGGTTGAAAAGATGGCTGAGTGACCGCAGTGCAGAATCGCTGTATAGTTTAAATCTCCTAACAATGTTGTCCATTTTAGACATAGGCTTATTATATTTACAGCCCTTAATAACATTCTTTTTCTGGGCTCAATATGTGTCTTGGCCGTTTTCGTTGTGATCACTAAATTCCCTTTGTTTATAATAATCACCGGTCTGAAGGATACTGTAGTGATTCAAAGTGTGATTTTAGCAAACGAGTGCTTTTGTTTTGAAATCACTTCCGTGAGTTTCGCACCGCCCCTCGTTCCAAGGACCATTTGACCATTTAGTAAAATAGGCCCAATCCCAAACCACTCCCTCGACCCTACCCCTCCGTGATGGAGTGAACTCCGTCTGTAGCCACACTCGCAGCTAGGCTCCCTCCTGTCAGATGGAGGGAGTAAATACAGCAGCAAGCTTTGGGACGGCCTTCCCTCTCTCCGGCAGAAACAGGAAATGCCGTAACTGTATGTAACAACGGTTTCAAATCAGCATCTCTTAGACAAAAAGTTTAAATGAATAACTCAAATAAAACTCCAAACATGTTTCATTGTGTTTCAAAGCTCTTTTAGATTTAAACCTGATGTTTATTATAAGCTTCTTAGTTTTTGCAACGGTCTGTAAATATTTACAACTTTATAATAAAATGCACACATTTACCTTTTTCCCAGACTAAATACAGGTATGATCCTAAGTTAAAAACATATGAGGTTATCATGAGTTTGTTAACATCGCAATTTATCAGTGGATGTTTGCTGGAACTACTTGTAAACAGCGTGTTTCCTGACGGACACACACAGCGTGACTCCGGTCAGGTAGAGACCGGTCTCAAGTCAGCACCGCTGCAGACTCGGGTTGCGTTCCGATAATCAGCTCCTAAATTCTAACCCTATCTCCTATTCCTTGACCTCTGAGTGAAACGTCACGGGGTTAAGGGATAGTGGATAGGAGAATTCAAAAGGATTTAGGAGAAGAGACCGCGGTACTTTAGAGCAGTGGTTCCCAAACGGTGTGCCGCGGCACACTGGTGTGCCGTGAGGCAAGTCCGGGTGTGCCGTGGGATTTTGTGACAACCATACGTTATTATTGCAATATACAACTACACAAAAATAATTATTTTTTAATTTACTATCAGTACTTTGTAGATTTATATGTACGTAATCTGCGCGATTTGCGCATCCACATCTCCACGTGCAGTGCTGCATAAACATGGCTGAGTCAGCGATAACTTTCGAGGGGTGGAGGTATGCCCATTACTTTGAGTTTGTCCGAAGAATAGACAGGAATGTGACGGTGAGGTGCAAACTGTGTCGAGGCCAGAAGCTGTTATCCACTGCTGTAAACACCACGTCAAACACCTGCAAAGAACACATGCTAAGGTGAAGCTACTGCACGCGCTATTTGTTGTTTGTTTATATCACATAGTCTGTTCTTCTTCTCTGTCTTCCGGTTGTTGCCTGTTTTGAATGACAAATACACACTACCGCTGCCTGCTGGTAAGGAAAGTTATTGCCACTCACGCATGCGCAGTTCGTACGTGCTCGGCGAGTAAAGTAACGAGTTACTTTATGTAGATAGTAACGAAGTAGTGTAATATATTACTTTTTTTTAAGTAATACATTTATAATTTATCATTTGTAGTTCAGGACCATGGACAATGCAGCTTCTTTGACAATTTTTTTTGACAATTCAATTGACAGTTCTCTGTGCTGAATTTCTGCTGAATTTCCTTTGCCTCATTTTTAATTGTGTGACCTGTCTGGTTTAAATGAGTGTGTTGCTGCTTTGATGAAGCCTAATTTGATAAAGTTTCAAATTAATTTCTGAAATATAGTAAATAATTATGCACATTAACAGATATTTTACATGATATGGGTGATAACACGTGTTATAAGGGCTATTTTGCACAATAGGTGTGCCTTGAGATTTTTACTTGTCCTTTGGTGTGCCTTGGGCACAAAAAGTTTGGGAACCACTGCTTTAGAGAATCCGAATGCACTTTCACTATCCGACGTGTTTATAATGCGCCAGCGGACGTCATGAATGTGCGTCTGCTGCTGTGGGGAAACTATGGAAACTACAGTTTTCTATACAGCGGACTACAACATGGATGTTTAATAAGAACGAGGGACTACTGTAAACTCATCTAGAGACTCTGCACCGTGCTCTGATGCTGTTGTTTTATGCTTTATGAACGGGGACAACAGAGAAACATATTCTTCATGACCAAAGTTGGAATTGAAATAAAAAAGGAAAGTGAAACTTATGCTCGTCACCCTCTCCCTCCGGTCCATATTAATACAAATGATCCCAATACGTATGATTGTATGAAAAGATCTTAACATAAATACTGTATTTATTATAAACGTTAGTCCTTAACATCTATCACTGTGTATATCACCATTCAAACATATTTTAAAAGTTGAACAAACCCCACACAGCTCAGTAAAGACTGAGATGTAGACTTTATTTGATCATTTCAGTAAAAACTAACGTTCATATTTCTCTTTTTGATTATAATACTGATGAACGTTCAGAAAAAAGCACTTTGGCAACTTACCACATACGTTTTAAAATGCTTAATAAGCACCGTAACTTTCATGATATCATTTCTCGGTCATAATCGGTTGTTTCAGTGAACGGCCGACTGTTGTGATGGCAAATGCTGCGGCTGCAATGCATTGTGGGGCAGCATTTTCTCCTCTCCTTTCGGTTAGGGAGGTCCAGTGGTTCCTAAACTAAACGAGGTTATAAAGGAAGTTTGAAACCTCCTTTCCTTTGGAGAGTTGGAACGGCACTTATCATGGCTGCCAATGACGTACCTCCGGGTCATTTCACTCAGTTAGGAAGGTTCCTAAGCTAAATGGACTATTGGAATGCAACCTCGCTGTTTGAGGGCTTGATAGCCCACTCCCCCTCCACACTCGTTGCTTTGGAACAGCCCTCAATATGGCGGACCCTCCGCGTGAACGCGCAAACGGAGGGGTAGGGTGTAGGGGGCGGTTTGGGAATGGGCCGTAAAAAGCAAAAACGCCTCTCAGACGCTCTTCCGTTTACGTGTTTAATAAAGAAAAACAATTGGACGGTAGATACACGGATTAAAACGGCTTTGGTTTCCCGTTTTTTCGTTTTAAATCAAAAACGAAAAAAGACTTTTTTTGGCTTTTGGTTTAAACGAAAAATCAAACTGACAAAACGTACACGGACCCTGAAAGGAAGGCAACATAGGGAAAAAAGTGATTGCTCGAAAATTATAGTATTGTGTATCTTGAATTCATGGATTAAATATTCTGCAACCTTTTGGTTCCAGTGTGTCAGCCTCGTCGTTGCAGTCCATCATCCTCAGTATATATGCAGCCTTTGACAGAGCACCATCCTCGGTGTAAATTGAAACCATGAAGTTGGTGATCTCTGAGATGTTTGTGGTGTCTAACGTCGCATCGCTCCAATTCGGGCAGCTGCTCGATGACCACCACGCCAGCCGTCTGCAGAACCATCTTAAATTGCTCGGGCTCAGTTTCAACAGCGTGTCTTTCAAAGCATCGGAGGACATTTTTCACAAATGTAAACGACCTAGACTAAAGTAGTGCTTTTCGGGAGTTTATCACCCGGCTGGCGGCTGTTGAAGTACAAACAGGAAGACACTTAGGTGCGTTCACATGCTGTCGGAAATATAACAATCATTGTCTGTCTGTCTGTGATGTTTTTATATGTAGGATTATACAGCTGTTAAAATATGGTAATCTGAGTACCATTGCTCAAATCAAACAGGCATTGACTTCACTTCACGTTCTCTTACTTTGTTTAAGAGAACGTAAACAAAATAAGTATTCTGAATGCGGGCTATAATTAGAAAAATAACAGTTAAATAAGGGCACAGCATTTTCACATGGCTACACATGTTCAATTCAGTGGCTCTCCTGAAAGTAGCATTTCAAAACAAGTCATTGAAATACATTTTATCAGCTCTATGAAATCGTTTTTTACTTTTATATTTGACATTGTAGAGACCAACAATGAAAAGGAATAATCAGTGAAGAATGAAAATAATCACTATTTGCATGCAGATCTGTGTAATACTGACAGATAACTCATTCTCATATAGGCCTATAGTTGTCAAAAATTGCTGATCCCTAATTGAAGAAACCAACAAAGCTGAAAACATACCTCTATTTAAAGGATGTTGATAACCAGTTTTGTTCAGAGCATTTTATTGCAACATACATGCTCAAACTTGCAAAGTTCTGGAAAACCGGAAGCCAGAAGAGAAAACTGCCTCAACTGTTCACACACACTTGTGGGGCGGACGCAGTAAAGTATATGAGAGAAGAAGTGGGTATTGCAACACTTCACAAATACAGTGTATCCGTTACAGGCCACTCCTTTTTGTCTCATAAACTCCTTCCTCACTTCGTCTCTATCCTTTCACCATCATGGCATTCACTGGGAAATACGAGTCAGAGAATCAAGAAAACTATGAGGAGTTTCTAGAAGCCCTTGGTATGAGATTGTCTTTCATCATTCATAAATAGATTTATGGTCATTTATGTCATCTTCAGCATTTGGAATTTCACCTGCGCTCTCACAGGTCTTCTCAGTGCCAAGACAGACCACAACGTGGTAACGGAGGTGCTTCAGGATGGGCACGACTTCACCTGGACACAAAGCATTCCCAACTGGGCCTGGTCCAATAAGTTCACCATCGGTCAGGAATGTGAGCTGGTGACAATGAAGGGTGACAAGTTCAAGGTGAGTTATTAACTCAGGCACTAGAGAACATGATCCTTTAACTGCAAATGTGCCACATATTCACTACTTGTCTTGATCTTTCATGTGAGCAAGTTTATTGGAGATTTTCCTCTGTGCCCTGTAGGCTACTGTCCTTCTGGAGAGCGGAAAGATTTCAGCTCAGTTTCCTCAGTACCAATTCACAGCAGAGATCATCGAGGATAAGCTGGTCATGGTAAGAGAAGTGAACACTTCACTTGTGTTCAAGCAATCAAACCCTGCACCTTAATACTCATTGAGACTAATTCTGTCCGATTTGTTATGACAAGATGAATAGAAATTGTTATATTTTCATCACAAATCATCTCTTTGTTTTGCACATGTCCTCCAGAGTTGCATAACTTCAGGAGAGAAGGGCGTGGCTTTCAAAAGAATTAGCAAGAGGATGTAATGCTGCGAGACTCAACATGCTTCAATAGAAAAGAGGCTCCCTCGGCGACAAAAAACATATCGTGAAAATGCTTGAATTACTGAAGCAGAAAGAATAAAGTAACCATCTGCAGCGAGGAACAAGTGGGACATCTTTTGACTTCACTGAACTTTGTTTGGTTGTTCTCGTTTCATATATTTATGAAGAAAATTGGTAAATATATATTGTATTTCTACCAGGGTCCATGGTTGATCCAATAAAACTGAAATCAAATCAAACACATCTTTTTATTGTATTTCACTTGGTTTACACCATCGATGCTGTGGTAATGAACTCTGACATGCAGGATGTGTTCTTGTGCACATAGTATACTGTAAATAAAAACACAAGCTGAATACCATTTAAAGATAGATAAATCAGGATATATGTATACGCCTATCGTTGGCATTAGTGTTATTTGAAGTTTGAATCCATGGAAACAAACGATATTTAAATGTGATGCAGACACACCCAGCTAATGTGTGCTGGTAATACATGTGTCATCCTCCAGACATTTGTTCTAATTTACTAATTAGAGTTACTAAAGTATGGTTCAAGTACCAACAGGTTGAAACAGTGCTTGAACTTTAAAACACAAAAGTTTAAAAATAAATAAAAAACAGTATTCCTGGTTTTATAAAGAACTTCAACATTCCTATCATTATTCCTATTTATGTATATTCACCACCAGTATGGTTTCCTTGTTTAAAATGCACATTTATCTTTTGCTTGCAAATGGATCCTTTTTTTAATTGAAGAAATGATCTGCTGGGGATGTCAGTGCTGTGTCTGCATTACTGCCCCAAACAAATGAACCGCTGCAGTTTCAGGAGCGTCGGGCCTCCGCTCGGCTCAGGTGGTCGGATATATTCGAATAGATATATTTGATTAGTGTGAAACGTGCCTGAGGAGTTGTTTGGTTTCAGGGACACGATATCACAAACACCTGTGCACACTAATACGATGAAACAACTGAGACAGAGTTTATTGAGACACAGGTGTTCATTTAACTTTGTTTCTATCTTTTTTGAGTTGTGGCACTGAATTGCAAACATTGTGGTGTATTGTAAGGTTTTGATTTCAAATGAAACACAGCCAATTCCATACCCTCTCAATCATCACATCTCCAATTGTCTTCAGAGTCATCGATTGTAATGAAGAAATGTTATATAATTTCATTAAGAATACTGTGCATGTATGTGAAATGGCAGTTCAGCCTGATAATCAAACGTGACTGATCAGCTGAGAAACCCACAATCAAGTCAATGTGAACAAAATATACCTAAAGTAAAATGTTGATTGATGTTGCATTAATATCAATATTGTTGCTCTGGTTTCAATTGAAAATGTAAATGTTTGTTTTTTTAAATACTAGCCAACTGTTTCTACTTCCCCTTTCTTTTACAATTAAAGCTGTGGTCTGGACAATATTGGAGAATGGTGCTCAGAGAACAACCTACTACTAAAAGTTAGTCCCCTTGTCTTCATCAATGCAGTTAAGGTGGAACAAAGTAACAGTTTTAAGTTCCTGGAAATCAGCATCACAAACAACCTTAAATGGTCATCATCACACATCTTCATCCTGGTAAAAACACATGACGAAGCAAAATCCTCCTGCCAAGGTTTTGTTAACTTTTACAGAGCCTGCCGACAGGGATCATTCGGAACTGGCCTGGGATCTGCACGGTCAAGCACAGAAGGGCTCTGAAATCACCATTGATAAGCAAGCTATATGTAGCCCCCATGATGAGGAGGGGGATGCTTGAGAAGAGCCCAAAGGGTATTCAAGAACAATCTACCTTCTCCATCACCAGACTATAGAGCTGCTTAGTTTGCATGGTTTTCATTAGCAACATTGTACTACCACTACAACCATGTTGTACAATGAAAGAAAATCACCTTGAGCTTTTTGACAAGGCCAGTTCTTCCTGAAATAGCCAAAGTGCAGAGGTCCTCTGAGTTTCACTAACATAAAGCCAGGCCAAAATACCTACATTCTTAAAAATCTTTCTTTTAAATCAACAAACAGTACTGGATCTAAATTGTCGACACTGATCCCATTAATAAACGTCTTCTCTGAACTGAATTAGAGATAATATTTCACATGGAGCAACAACACCTCAACAAGGACACCTTCAGCTGCCATGAATATAGAGCTGCTGATACTGAAATGAAATCATGAACAAATTAATGATCTATATATTACTAAAATGTAGCCGAGGAGTGCTTTCCAAAGGGCTGTTGTTAGTGAAGGAAGAGCTGCACTTTCCCATTGTCACCACCGCGAGGCGCCCTCATACCTCAATGAAACATCACCGGGAGTATGCCTCTCACTTTCATTGCATGGGGTTTATGGGTAAATTCACATTTGTAAAGATGTCATTTGTTTTGATGGTGTTCAAAAACAATAACTTTTTTCGATTCTACCAGAATTTCAGTTCCAAATCCAAATGTGTTCAGCAGTGAGCCGTTTGCTTCTTTTAATGGATAAATGAGGGAGTATATATAGTTCTCCATTGATTCCCTTTTGTTGTGTGAAAACAGTAACACATTGGTCCCTCTATAACAGATAGTCTTGTTGGCATTCACCCCCTTGTCCTAACAATTAGACATGCTGCATTTCACTATGAAAAATACAAAAAAGGAGAACTTGGGAGGGTAGCTCTTTCTGGTCACATGTACTTATGAGGCATCACATTTTTACTAAACAGACTGACCATTTTCAAAGCTTAAATTCAGTGAACTGCTTTTTCTTTAGTAAAATGTTTGTTTTTATTATTGGAACTCATTGAATGATGATTTCCATAATAATGACTTCTCTTGCACACATTTTAAATACCTGAAAACATTTGATTTGTCATTAATAAAGTAATGAGGGTATTGTTACCCCTATATCTATTGGTCTATTTGGACTCGTATATATTTTTCTTTAGTACCTTTACAGTTTAATGAAGCATCACAGACAAATGTAATTTGTGTAGATGGTAAATGTAAGTAAATTATTTTTAAAATGTGGCTGTTTTAACCTGTAAGAGTTGTGTGTTGATTTATGAATTAATACAAATGTGCATTGGCATTAACCAGCTAAAAACGGTGATTTACTAATCATTGAGATTAGCCACCAGTTTATGGCACTGACACACTCAGTCCAGGTGTTGATAAGGCTGATTAAATGTAAAAAAGTATTAAGCAAATTGAATAAGACCCCCAAACATTGAGCAGCTCTCTCTGCCCCCCCCTTTTCTTCCGTTCTGTTTGCCAAGTTAATTACGTTTCAGGCTTATTTTGAGGAGCATGTGGATTGCTATATTTTCTTCAAATGTTTAACTTAATGATGATTAAAGATCTGTGAGCTGATGTGATTAAGTATTTGTGTTCCAAATTTGTTGGAAAAAAACAATGAAAACGCCTCAGTTGCATGATGAATTAAGGATCCTGCTGTGTTTGAGAGAACAGAGCGGAGGCCTACAAATGTCCGCGGTCCTCTGTTCTGCGTCCAACACGAGGAGGGCGGTCAGTCTACAAGCATTGTGCTGGGGTATAATGTGTCGTGTGTCAGAGAGAGACACTGAATGGATTTTTTTATATATCAAAATGTTGTTAAAACACAGAAAGATCTGACTGAGCTGTGGAGGAGGACTTAAGAAGCAGCAGAGACTGAACTTCATTCTCTCATACTGAATTATTACTTTGTCTGCTCGTTGATATACTATTCCGCTCTTGGTAACAGGGAGAGATTATTTGCTTTCGGTTTGACCTCAAATAGAAATTGTGCAAATGTCAATGGTGGATATATGTACATAATTTAGATGCAATAACTCGCATACAATATTCATGGAAATGTGAAACGCTCCATTCAGAATGTAAACTAAAGCATGATTAAATATATTTAAGATTATTAAAAAAATTACTCATTCAGCAGCATGAGCCACGCTTATGTACGCTATCATTTGTTTTAGTATTACAGTTGAAGTTAGTTTACCAACTTTAAACATTGCCAGCTAGCCAGTTTAATATATAGGGTGAGTTGCCCTAATGTGGGACACCTAAGCTCAAATGGGTGTAGGTCTTCCGCAAACAAATGAGTCAATGAAACTACGGGTTAACACAAGCTGTGATGTCATGCGATCAAAATCACATGACTTCTCAAATATCCAATCACAGATGAGGGTGGAAAAACCTTTAAACAGGAATTACCATGTGTGAAGACCACCCAATTGTCAATGACATAGCGTTTTGACAAATTTAATGTTACGGTTTTAAATTTCGTATAAATCTTGCAAATTTTTATCAGGATGTGTTTATGATATGTTTGTTCATCAGAACATATTATAATATGGTGTAAATATACTCTATATTTTTTATTTCAATCAAATGTTCCATCGTCCCACTTTAGGAAACATGTTTCGCAAAGTGGGACAGTATGATTTGCCTAATGTGGGACAGGTCTAAAAGGGGCATGGATTGTGCAAGAGCAATGGTTATTTACAGGGCTTTAGTCTTCTAATGCAGTATTTTAGATATTTAAGGTGAAGGGCAAATCATATTAAATAATTGGGGGTGGCTGCATCTCTGTTAAAATGGTATGACAAAGTCAGAGATAATGTTAGGGATTAATGTCTGAGTTTAAGAGATGGCAATTAATTTAAGCCCAAATATTCATAGTAATTTAATAAATCCTTCCAACACACATTGTAAAAAATAGCCTAAGTTAAGAAATCATTCCAATATGTGCTATAGGTCAGTGGGGAGTGATTAGTCGAATATGCATAAATAAAAAAGAAAGAATGCAGACTAAGATAAAGATAGGAGAGAGGAGTTTATCAAATATGTGTTATTGGTTGTGAGCATATTCTAATGGTTTTTGGATTATTGAAATATATACAGTTCTGTTTCATATGAGTGTTGAGAGCTGTATCCATAAATCTCTTAATTTTGCCCTCAAAGTGCATCAGATTGATGCATTTAACTTCAATTTAAAGAAAAACATCTTCTGTTGTAAAAACAATAACATTATAAATAGTAACATAGCTGAACATGGTATTGCACATTTAGCTTTGAGTGTTACTGACCTGAGATGTTTTTATTACATGAATTAAGGTGACTGAGGCTTTTTAACATATACTTTTCAGTGTCCCACATTTTGCACAGAACTGTCCCACATTAGGAAAAGCAGATTGTCTGAGACAACTTGGCACTAAGAGTACTTATATGTCTACCATTTCTTTTATGAGTGTAATATCTGCATTTTCTCTTTTGGTTTGATTAGGACACATCCTGGGGATTTCAGAATGGTACTTGATGTTGATTTATTGTATCGGCTTCATATCGCAAAATATTCCCGAAGTCTGAAATGCAAAAAATGTCCCACATTAGGGCAATTCACCCTAGGCTATATAGTTATGTTTGTTTGCCAGATTAAATCTGCAAAGTAACAAATAACCACAGCTGTAAGGTAAGAGAAGAAAAGTAAAACAAACAATATTATCTGAAAAATGTAGCAAATAAGAAGTGTAAAGCAGAAGTAGTGGAATTACCTAACATTTTTAATAAGGTATAAAGCAGGGTAAATGTACTTAGTTAAAGTAATTATTAATATCCCCTTGATGAAGCACTAATGGCGCGTTTCCACTGCAGCGGGTAGCTCGCTTAAGCGTGCCGAGCCGTGCGGGGCCCGTTTTTGGTTGCGTTTCCACTTGGCCTAGTACCGGCTAGCGGGTCCTAATTCACAGTTTTTCTGGTCCCATAAAATCGTGGTTCTAGGGCCAGGAACAACCAGGCTGAGTCGGGCTGAGTATGCTAAACTAGAGAGATAATCGCTGGCAAGGGGGCTACAACTACAACAAGATGAACATATTTGACCGTGATTTAATTGTAATACACGTTTCAAAATGATGCCGAAGTAACAACATACTGATACCGGTTAGTAAAAACCATGAATTAATGCTTTGACAAGTCTGCAGACAGACGGCAGGCGAAAAACCCTTTTAAAATGCGTGTTTTCTAAATGGAGCTTGGCTAAGCTAACGTTATATATGCTCCGACCGTCCACACTCACAACGGCCTATACAGACATAAATAAACCAGCGACTGTATTCGCCATGACACAGGCAGTCTGTGGTTTGTACTTGTTTAACTTTTGTCTAGTTTCTGAACAGATATGAGGAGCTGTGAGCTCTGAGTGCTAAGAGCTAACGGCTGTGTTGTTTTTCTGGGGCGCTCATTGAAGATGACGTCACGGCTCCGCCTACACTGCGTTACTATAGTAACTACCCCAGTTCCTAAACTGTAATGGAAGCGCAGCATTAAAGTGAGATGGGCCTAATAAGGCCTAACCAAACCGAGCGAGGCCTGCAGTGGAAACGCGCCATTAGTTACAGTTCACCACTGGTCGTACTGGTGTAGTGCTGTTTTGACGACAGATGTGT